GAGGCGCGAGGCCAGAGAAGCATTTCTCGCTGAGAAAAAGTGCTTGAAAAGCCAGTTTGTCATTAATTGCGATTCAGACGGAAAGTGATGATTTCGGTGGTGGGAGTTTGGGGTTGAGAAGCAGGGGACAGATTTGTTCTGTGTCTGTACAGCACCTAGCAAAATGGGATCCTGCTCCAGGACTGGGGTCCTAGGCACGGCCATAACACACCTCATAAATAATAGTAGTAATAAGATATTTAGTGCCCACCGTAGGGAGGGGTCTTAGTGCTGACCCTAGCAACTAAAGCAGCCTGATGTTTAACCTATAACAACAGGAGTCGTTTCTTTACTTCAAGTGGCCTGGGGTGGTGGCTTCCACACTGAGGGGCCTGGGTTTGATCCCCATTGATAACTGAGGTCGCTGATTAATTATGAGTCCGGGTAGTCTCTCGTGAAGCTCTTGAAGGAGGGAGTTATTCGGGGCTGGGAAATCCCCATGGAGGTCCCTTTTTCCTACCACACATTGGAAAGCACAGAGAGCCTGTGGCTGCCTCTAGCAGAAAGACATGTGCTCCCGCAGGGAGGCAAAGCTGGGGGGGGGTTGGGGGGGGCGTGGCTTCTGGCAGGGTAGCCCCACCCAGCCAAGCAAGAGAAAAGTGTAAGGACACACAGGCCACTTGGGTAATAGTGTGGTTTCCTCTCTGGGGCTGTGGGCGTCGTCACAGCTCAGATACATAACCCAGGCCACAGAGGCGATGATCAATCCTCTTCTTGCTAGGGACGGCGTCAAATCTGCTTCTGGCTCTGCCGTCAAGTCCATAGGCATCTCCCGGGCTCTGCTGTGGACCTTCTCCTGCTCCACCGAGAGCAATCATGGGCGATGGGGTGGTGTATCCTTCTGTCTTCGTGGTGGACGGCCAGCAGCACGGGGTCCCCTTTGTCCCGCCCATGAGGAGGAAGCGGCGGGTGTGCTGGCACAGCCAGTTCTTCCTGGCCTCTCTGGTCATCTTAGCCCTGGCTGGTGTGGCCACCGAAGGCTATTTCCTGATCCGCTTCCAGAAAGAGCTGGAGAAGGCGACGTCCCAGGTTGGGGTGAGTGACTGGGAAAGGGGATCGGGAGACGAGAGTCTTGCATCATGCATGGACAGTGATGGGACGTGTGTGTGTGTGTGTCTGCTGGAATGTGAAAATGAGCAGACTGCATGTGTGTTGGGAAGGCGCTGTGTGTGTGTGTGTGTGTGTGTACGCATGCATGTGCTGTAATTTGGAAATGCACTGGTGTGAGTGTGTGTGTGTGTGTGTGTTAGGATAAAGCTAGGCATTTGCTGGGACAGGGATCTGGGCGTGTGTTTGTGCGCTTGTGCGGGGTCTGGGCAGCATCTGTGTGTTAGAATGGAGCTGTGTGTAAGAGAGTTTGGATGGAACTGTGTGTGCGTCAGAAGGGACAGTGTATGTTAGGATGGAGTTGTGTGTTTGCTGGGACAGGGCTGTGTGTGTGTGTGCTCTGATGGGACTATGTGATTTTGGGAACTCGTGTCTGCTAGTATGGGACAACGCAGGTTTGTGTTAGCAGAGAGTCGTGCTGACATCGGTTTGTGTGTCTGTGTGCTGCAATGGGGCTGTGTGCAGTAGTATGGGACAATATGTTTGTGTTAACCTGGAGTGTGTGTTGAATCAAGACTGGCATGTGCACACCTGCTTTTGTGTGTGTGCTGGGAATGAGCAGTGTGGCTTTGTTAGGGTGAGCCCGGGTGTGTCTGTGTGCTCTGACAGGGCACTGTGTGGTTCGGAGAGAGAGAGAGAGAGAGAGAGAGAGTGTGTGTGTGTGTGTGTGTGTGTGTGTATGGATTTGTGTGTATAAATGGTGTTGGAGCTGTGTGTGTGTGTGTGTGTGTGTGTGTGTGTGTGTGTGTGTGTGTGT